TGCGGGGGGATGTTGAGCGCCAGGTTCGTGGAGGCGGAGGAGGCCGAGCCGACGGACCCCACCGAGCCGGACCCGGCGCCCCCGGCTAGCGCCGCCGCCGCCGCCACCGTCGCCGTCGCGTGCCCCGACATCTCCTCACTGTGCTCCTCGCGAGGGCATTTGCAGTTGCGGCACACTTTCCTGAAACAAAAACATAGAAACATACGTTAATGATCATTTCATCGGTAGTAAGGACTAAAAAAAGATCTTTTAGGAACTTAAATTAATGACCCAGGTGATGTGCTTGATGCCCATTTTTAAAGAATCAAAGGCATTTTTCAAAATTTACACAGTCCCTCAAAATGAGCTTTCCGTGTGATTTTGCTAAAAATGGACAATTTAGCCTAGCCCCCCCCCCAAATTTCAGCGTATCCCAAAATCGTTTGACGTGCATGAGGTGACCATAGATATGGTGTTCTGTGCAAATTTTGAATGAAATCGAACAGATAGATTCTGAGATATCGCTGTACACAGATTTGGGGGACGTCGGACGGACGGACACAAATTTTTTCAAGTATGGTTATTTTGACTCCTGAGACCATAAAACGTCTAGAAAAGATGAAATTTCAACTTTTTTTTCTTTTTCTTGGAGGATGACAATACTTCCTCTCTACCCTAGGGGAGCGAGAAAGTAAAACGTAACCACATACCAACGTGGCAAAATTTCCACTCGCAAATCGTTGAGATCGGGTCCGAAATGATAGAGTATGTCCGATCATGGGAGTCGAAAATGACGTCGTATTCGACGTCATAAGACCAAACAGCTTGTCTCGTATGGTCATGTTAACAGGATGACGGAAGACCAAAGAAGAAGCTTGTTTATTGATTTCCTCCTGGGAGGAGACGAAAAGGACGCCCAGTGAGAGAGTGGCGACAGGGAGTTTTAGACGAAATGAGGGAGTGCCAACTCCCCAAAGGGTTTTGAGAGGATAGGGGACTTTGGCGACTGGGTGTCGCAGAGCGCTAAAAAGCGTTGTAAAAGCGGTTTTTATGTATGTAAATTGTCGTTTCCCTCGCGGAAGAATGTAACTTCGCATCACACCTCGTGAATTCCATATCAACGAAGAGGAGAATCTTGGGCATTCCTCACAAGGACCTTCACTGATTTTTACTCAGATTTCATGCAAAAATTAGAAAAATTGTTATTAAAATTCGTACAATCGCAAATCGTCGTTTTCCCTCACGAAAGAAGGTAATTTCATAACAATGTTGCCTAATTTCCCTTCGCAAATTCCATTATAACTAGGAGAATCTTGGGCATTCCTAACCGGAAATTTCAGTGATTTTTCCTCAGATTTCATGCAAAAAGCTGAAAAAATGTTTGATAAAAATTGCACATGTACAACTTTGTAAAATTAATTCATCGTTCGAGTCAATTTGGCAACATTGAAATGGAGTTACGTTCTTTCGTGAGGGGAACGACGACTTGTGTTATTAAAAGAATTGACTTGTTTCGGTTAGTTTAACTACCTTGGAATTAGATTACGTTCCACTACTTGGGTATCAAGAACTTAAAAAAATATCAGAGGGTAACCCGGTAATCTGGATAACGTTTCAACGTTGAAACTTTAAAATCGCGTACCTCGCTTTGCGCGCTGCGAGAAAAACTCAGAAACAGATGAGGCGCTGTAGTTACAACTTGAGCGAAAAATAATTGAAACCGATTTGATTCATTAGTGGATGTCGAGTGATGAATTTATATAAAACAGAGTTGGGATGAAGCATGAAATCGGAGCAGAGTGCAGGGTGCGAAAGGGCGAGAAAAAGGGGGTTGGAGGGAACAACGAGGAAGATGAATTGCACTCGACTCGAAGGAATCGCATCTTGATCGCCTCGACGCACAAGGGCTCGAGTCAATGAGAGAGGTCGGACAAAGTTTGGAAACTTTGAAAGCTTATAACTCCGTCAATACGAAACTTTGAGGTCTTAAAAGTGATTCCGTTGGTTTTCTCGTGAAATTTTCTTTTAAATGCATGACTTGAAATTTAAAATGTGATGAAACAAACATTCAAATTCGCAGTTTTTGTTAAAAACCTCATGTTCGACCTCTCTAATTGACTCGATCCACTGTGCGATGGAGGCAAGCGAAGGGGGAAATGCCAACCAACCCCCTCAGAGGGTCCATTGCATCACTATCCGAATTCCAAGCGAGGAATAAGTTGCATTGTACATGTTAAGGTGATTCGTCAAGCTCAAGTGACTTGGTTCAACTGGAATGCAATATATCCCCGGTAAAAATTGGCAGTAGAACCTGTGTTCCAAAATACCATAGACCTACAGCCGGCTGTAAGATTTCCAATAGCTTCTATAGCCGGCTACACAATTTCTTATAGCCTTTTATAGCCGATGGCGACTAAGCAACAGCCAGGCGATATAGTGTATGCTAAACGTTACTAATTACGGATGCTAGAACTTAGTGAGTTTTTGGAATACTGCTCTCTTTTTGGGCCGTAGTACCTTGATTTATTTTGTGAGGAAAGCTCCGTACTCTTGATGGATGCCTGCTATTACTAATATATTAGAGCGCCTTCAGTTTCGTATGAGACTGTGCAATACCTCTGGTGTGAAATAGTTGCTTCAAGCGCCGTGGCAGGCGGCCAGCCAGAGCGAAACACGCATTGGCGCCTACAAACCTAACAGGGATACTTCACGCGTTGCGCAATGCGTGAGGTATCCCTGTTAGGTTTGTAGGCGCCAGTGCGTCGCCGGTCCGCTTTGAGTTAGGCTCTCATATTTAATCTGGCGGAGTCAGCGTTATTCAACTCATGATTTTGAAATGTTTGCACATCCTGTATGGATTATTCTCATTTTAATTGATGAAAAAAAAATATGTACTAAAGGAAAATATAATGTGTGTTTTGGAAATATTAAGGTGGTTCCGTATCAAACTTAATGATTTCCAAAGCACACGAATTTCTACACAATTTCTTATAGCCTTTTATACTCGATGGCGAAAACGCAACAGCCAGGCGATAAAGTGTAAAGCCCGGCGATAGGAACTATAGCCCGACCGCATAATTTTTTATCGCTTCGTATAGCCCGGCCGTATGATTTTCTCCGCATTCTACAGCCAGCTATATGATTTTCTGTAGCCTTCTTCAGCCGGCTTTAAGAATTCCTATGGTATTTTGAAACGCAGCTCTTATCGCCAATTTTTACCAGGGATCGCATCGAGTAGGTCATCAATCTCGGCAGATTTTGCATTTTTAGCCTAACAAAGGATAATAGCTCCTGCGCACGAGCCTAAAGAATCACTCAAAAACCAAACATTGAAAAAATTCTGAGAAATGAAAGTAGAATGGTGTTAGGAAAAAACTTCGCATTCGAACGATTCGATAAAGAAATCGATAGATGTATGGCAATTTTTCATCCGATTTTATTGCTATAAATCGACATCGATTAAATGGCGATACATTCTTCGATCAAATCGCAACTTATCGCGATCACCGCTACTTGGGACGTAATTGTTCTGTGTCGATGGCTGAAGTGTGAAACCGCGTACTTCCGTTTGCTAAGTTGCAACCGATTGTACTTACAGTTACTCAGGTTCCGTTGCAGTCATATCTTTGTTACACTTCAGTTTAAAAAAAAAGAAATGAAAAACAGAAATCAAGGAATAAATGAATTTAAGCCAATTTTAAGTTCTCTGTGCCGAAATCCGCTTCTTTCCTAGCATCATATGATGACCCTCTCATCAAATGTTAATCAATGCTCTCATCAATGCTAGGATTATTGTAATCCTTCATTTTTCATACCACTTTTTGATGCCGCATCATTTTAGAAAAGGAAAAGATTTCATCTTATCCGGTGGAAATCATCCAAGCGTAAAGACGAGGGACCGCCCCCCCCCTTCCATAGAAAAACGACAAGATTACCTTTGAGCCATTTTAATAAAGCAGTCTCAAAAATAACGCAGGTCTGGTTACGCAGAGCAATCCGTTCGTTACATCTGAACGCGAGAACAAGGGGTCGGGACAAATCTTATTAGTACAGAGCATGCATGGACGTATTTATGCTAAAAGGAACTATGTTCCACGCAAACCCAATGCACATAGTTCCTTTTAGCATGAGAACGTCCGCGTGGAGCTCAACCACCGTAACACGATGCAACGATGCACTGACCCTCGGATTCAGGTGAGATCCTCCCGCACTTGTGCTTTTAGCCCCTGCATTTATCTCACTGAGCGTGGCGGAGCGGTTTGTTACCTACTTTCAACCCCCCCTCT